TTGCTGCAATGGACGCGCTCTGACCCTCGTTGGCGTACAACAATTTGCCATACAATGAAACCACTGGAAGCGGCTCCAGTTCTGATGGAGGAGGCTTTTTGGATAGCGGAAGATAAAGTGTTTATTGTGTTGTACCTTTTGACTATAGTTTTAAGATGTATTGTATAGTGACCAAGAATCCTCGGCTCTGTAAAGTTAATTCGGTTGAGCCTTATCAAATAAATTAATAAACAAAAAAAACAAGATGGGGCATCGTGCCACACCTCGAACCGCACTCAGAAGTGGTTGCAGGAACATCTTCCGTTCTGGGTGAAGGATATGTGGCCGCCATCCAGCCCCGATCTTAATCGGCTGGATTACTCAATATGGCGTGTCATGAAGGCCAAGGCCTGTTCTAAATGCCACCCGAGTACAGCAAGCCTCAGACAAACATTGACCCGTACCTGGAGATAAATGGATCCAGACTACATTATTAGAACCTGCCGTGCATTCCGGAAGCGTGTGGAGGCCGTAATTGCAGCAAGTGGAAACTCGATCGATGATTAACATAGTTTAAGACTCTGAGAAACATCCCCCCTTTGAAAAAATAAAAAAAAACTAGAAAACGAAATTTTTGAGAATTTTTTTTAAATTTTGACATTAATCAATGGTGCTAACATTATAACGCATACGGTAAATACGAGAGAAATAAATGTTGGTTGATAGAACACTTTGAAATATGCAATTTTAACATTCATATGTATTGAAATTAATGACAGATACTTAAGGCCCAAACGCAATGTGGGTGGAAGCGGAACGGAAACGGAAAGTTTGACAGTTGTCACAAATGACATCAAGATGCCTAACCGAAGTCGATTTGGTTCTAACTAGTTTTCAATCCGACAAGTAGGCTTACTCAGATCGGGCTTTTCCGCTTCCGCTGTCATCGCACTTGGACCTTTAGGCCTATTCTGCGCGGCGTGAGCGGTGAGTAGACTCGCTGTTATTAGTGAAGTGACAATTGGGTTCTTTAATGTTGAAAAATATATCAGTTACTTCATTTCTGAGCACAACGATATTTTTTTTCGATCGCATTTAAGATGTAAAACAAAATAATTACTTCACTGTTTGACACAAACTTAACAAAATGACAGTTAGCTACCATACAAAGTACCACCGAGGGGCGCTAAGGTGGGGATTTTTTTCTAATGTAATCACACTTATTTAAAATCGTTCAGTGCTCCAAAATTGATGAAATCTAAGATTTCCGTTCCATGTGTAATGAGGATTACGAATGTACAATTACCACTAAAGAACCCAAATGTCCCCTCGGGTGAGGTGATCCATTTGATTTGCACAAAGACTCACCTCACTCGAGGTAACAATTGTCACTTCACCATCACTTCACTGTCACCCCATCACACACTAAATTGGTTGCGAAAGGTCGCTTGCTGTGTTTCAGAGATTTTAATTTTGATTATCTATGTTTTGACTCACTGTGCATTGTTAGACATCTGTACAAGGGGCAATCAACTCTGCACACTGTGCCAAAATACAGCATAACACACTGTTCGGCACATTAAGGCACACTTTGATAAGTAGGACACAAACAATATAATATAAAACGGCATCACTGTTGAGTGTTGACATTTTGCCAACCGTTTCTAAGGTTTAGTACTCGGGTCAATACTTTGTTTACTCACCAATGAAATGTCATACATAAAACTGGTGATACAATGATTCAATCAAGAAAATGTAAACGACAAACGGATACCCACCGGTGCTGGGAATCATTCGAAAAATTCTGTAAGTATTGTCTGAATTTTGAATTTCTTCGAACGTAGCAAAACTAAGTCCGTCTCTGCCGAATCACAGTAAAAATCACAGTGGATCGTGAAATCATCTAGAACAGCTTCTATCAGGGCCTCACTTCCTTCGAGTTTATCCATGTACACCATGGAAGGTCCAGAGCGTCAGAGACAGCTGAAACGGGTTTCCTCTAGAGACGATTCGTTTTACATTGAGGATGAAATTATTGTGAAAAATGCCCGACGGTTGCCTTTGATGATAAATTCGAACGGCCACACCAATAATTTGATCAATATCAAGCAAATGGATCCCAACTATACAACGGGGATGGCAGAATACCTACACTATCCTGTAATTCGTATTCCTACGAAGGTCGGATTTAATTGTGGAACGATGAGCATCGAGCTTGATGAATCTTCATATTCAGTATTGGAAAAGTTTACCAAAATGCACTACACGCTATTTCAAAACTACCTAAATTTTGGTAGAATCCACCCAGATCGGTCAAAACTGAACCTACCCAAAAATGGGTAAACTGTGTTGGGAGTGACAAGTTGACAAGCTGACAAATGAACAACGTCGATCGGATTCATGTCAATGTTCTTCATTTATCAACTTGTCACTTCAAACACAGTTTACCCATTTTTCGGTAGGTTCAGTTTTGACCGATCTGGGTGGATTCTACCCAAATTTGGGTAGTTTTGAAATAGCGTGTACGACTCGCGTACTTTTTCCTTGATGAACTTCGTGAAATATCGTGAACTTTTTTCAACGCTGCTCACATTCTAGCCCACATGCTGTCCCACTGGAGGCTTTATTCCAGAATACACTTCTTAATTCTGAACATAACATTTCAAGACCAACAATTGAAAAGGCCTCAACTCCATTTTGTAAACAAACCTTGTAAGGCCATTTTGCCGAGAACCGAAGTCCGCCAACGCAAACCAACAAAACGAACTGGTAGGGGAAAATCTGTTCTACTCGATTGTGTTTTAGGTTTGCGAATGTAGGCTTCGGATCGCGAGAAAATGGCCTTACAAGATTTGTTTATAAAATGGAGTTGAGGCCGTTTAAATTGTTGATTTTGATTTGATACTGTCGTGTGTATCCATTGGATACTATCCAATCTCGAAGCGTATGACGAAGGATCAGAGCAGGATCTTCTGCGAGAGTTGAGGTACATCAACAATTTTGTTATGCAGTCCCGAGTATCTTCGGGACGGAAATTTTCACATTTTCTCCTGCGTTTTTCCTCGGATATTCTTGTCAGTCATTAGTCATTGGTGTGGACTTTGATAGGACACCGTTTGAAAAATTCATGTAAATTTCTGCGAGATATAGCGCACATAAAATTAACGCTAGATTTGGCATAAATTTACACGATATTTCGTGTAGATTTAAGCGCAATATCGCTTAAATTAACAATATTTTATGCAAGCTTGTAAACGATTTCGTTGTTTATGATAACTGTAGCTCAAAATTAGACGAGGGGAGATTTTACGCGATATTTAAAACTCAGAATTTTTTTCTGTGGACAACCACCGGACTTTATAGCGATGTCCATAGAATATTGAAAGGTGTATTTTTAATGCTATACACTGAACCAAAACATCCGCAATACTTCGAATGATTATTGCATTGCTCGAGCCCTTTAACAATATGCATTCGAATTTCGGATGATTTTCTTATGGTTGAATTCGTCGTCAGATGATGAACATCCATATGACTGTCATCCAAATACAGGATGATTTTCGTTTGAAAATTAGCTATAAAACATACGGCACTCAGATGACAAACATTTAAGAATAGTGTGACATGCAAGTGGTTTTAATTAGATTTATAATTTGATTATGTACAATTCCATACTGAATAGCCATAATAAGCCATTCCATCATGGATACAAAAAAAAATCGTGGTGGAGAAAACCTCCTCCACCACGGATTAGCCAAACATTGGTTTTCATCCTTTACCTTTGTTCGTAACAGCTCTGATAGCGATGCATATGCCCACCTCGTTTGTCAGCTCAGATCAGCAAATGACGTTCGATAGAATTATTTACATCATCGTTTTGAATGATTTGCGTTATGGGGCTGAACCAATACCATATGCATTTCCATTTAGTATGACAGTAATTCTGCAGAGAGCATTACGCATTTCAACTGAAGGCCCTATCCCTTCTCATAACAAGTTTCATCAAGTATTCGAGAGGAAAATCATCTGATTTCAAAACAATCGTCATCCGGTTGCAGCTATCATTCGAAAAAGCGATTTCGGTCTTTTGTTTTGAATGGTCTGAGGTTTCATTCGATCAGAGGATGATGTTTGTGTACAGTGTATGCTCTTGAATCACGAATTGCCAACGGTTGTCATCGGTGTGGAGCTGACTGAATTGGGCGGAATCTTCTCGAGTTCTATACAGATCTACAGACGCCGGATAAAGCGCTTCCGCTGAAGTCTACGGTGGCTCAGAATCCTATTTTCAAAGCAATCAGCGATACGATAGGCATGGGTTATATCTTTGAGTCGATCAGATGATTTAAAACTGGTTCGACGATGTTGCTCCTAGCGTGGGATTGAACTATGCTTGAACACCGTATTGGTTTGATGGTTTGCAGTTCCTCTTCCACCTCCCGACCCGCTAGCGCTCTAATGAGAATGTCTGCCATGATCTATCAGAGAAATTGAGAATGTAAACAAAACTTACAAAAGTCATAACTTTCAGGGTTGCCAAACACCTTGATAAGCATACTTTGATTGTCCTTGATAGGTACGTTCGGCAAAGCGCTTGGCACAACTAATAACTCGGCCCGAAATAAGGTGTGCACCTTGAATCTGTATTTAAACTGCTATAAACTTTCAGTTCATTTTAAATTAGAAAAAATATCAATTACTAGAATTTGCATCCCCTTGAATTTAAATCAGAGCGGTAGGGTACTACCTATTTGTAAGCCTACCTGCTAACCAAAATAACACACATCAGAAGAAGTACGAACTGAAGATGATATTTGCGCACTCGGAGAATTGTATGCCGAATGTACGCATAAGATCTACTGATCTGAATTTGAATCAGCATATTTTGACATAGATTAAATCACTTCGATATCCCCTTTCGCTAACCTGTGTGATTCGACACCCCCTCAATAACTGCACATTCATGCAGCGCCCTTTATGGAGCAGCGTGGTACGCCAAATTCACAGCACAAACAACCTACCTCTTTCCTAGCGACGGCGATTGAGGGGCGTAAATAATCGGACTCGTCGGTGTGACCGGACTGCTCTTCTGCTGAAACGGGTGATAGCCATTTCCCTCTGGGCCACCGATCATGATCGGTGGTAGCTTGTCAAACGGATTTCCCAGCAGTTTCTGATCATCTCGACCATCCGGCGATTCGACGTCCACCACCGGGATGGTAAAGCTTTTCTTGCTCATCACTTCTTGCTCGGTACGTCAACTTTTCTTATTTTCGTTAATGACTCACTTTCAAATTTCCGAATTTTACACCACCAAACATTCGACTTTGATCAACGTGCGCGGATTAGTGCGACATTTCCCAAATTGCCAATCACGTTCCCCGATAATTCCTGTCAATCTCACTGATAATGTGCAATGCTCAACCGACCGATCTGCAGTAGAATATTTTTGTTTTATGTTGTTCGATTGAAAACCAATTCCGTTCGTTCGCGTCTACCGTGCGTGCAAGACTAATCCCAAACTCGTCAGCTATCGCCCGGCATGGCTAGGCTGTGTCTCCGACAGGCAGCGATGATGGTTGTTTAACAGCTCCCCTCGACAAAGCCTCAATCATCCCCACCTCTTCTCTCTTCCACGATTCACGATCGGCTATTGGAGCGTTATCAGCTCAGCTCAACCGGCAATTCAGAGGCAATTTTCCGCCTTTGCCTTCCCTCACCCTCTGGCCCCAGGTTCGTCATCGTTCTGCCCAGCTATTTGTCGTGGTTGTCGTCGTAGCTCGAGCGGTACTTCGTTTTGAAGACGTCACCATAAGTCGGGCTCTGGACTTTATCATCTGACAAGGTTTGTTTTCCCTGCCTTAATGATTGCAATTTATTTACGTAAAAAGAGGGGACGGAATTTTTCCAATCGCCACGAATGCGCTATGCCTAATTTGTCGCTATCGATCCTTATTGGGGGCTATTTGCAGTTAGGCTTGTTCACTAGCTCCACCAGCTCAACCAACTAGCAGGAATTTCGGTCGTTCCTGCCACCTCCGTCTGTTACCGTATTGACCGAGATATGGGATTAATCTCGGCCTCTTAGATGAAAGTAGCAGTATCTCCAATAATCGAGAACTGTCTTGGCCACGTCCTTGCAACTGTTGGGGATGGGAAGGATTTTTAGTTGGACACTTACTTAAGAGAGCTGCAGAGAACTCTACGACCGCTCATAAGTGTCACAGAAGTTTGGAGGTTTCTTAGAGGCGAGGGTAAGGCCATACGTTCGGTAAACGTTGCTGGCAGATTTACGATAGCAGTGGTTATGTTATATTTATGTGTCAAAATAAAGTAAATGTGTATGTATGAGTGTTTTAATAAATAAAAATGGATAGCTTTCACCAGTTTTGTGATGTTGAGAGTTGCCTCTTGCTCTATTTTAATTAATTTATGGTAAATTCATGGGATTCCATTGGGTTGGGTTTCCAGCCAGTTTCAAAATTTTCCAGATTTAGCAGACCTTTCTTCGTCATTGGCGATTCTTGATAACTTTCTGTGTAAAATCGTACTAAACTCCAACCGAAACTACCCGAAACACGGAAAAACGGAACAAAATCAATATATTTGACAAGCAAAAGAAAAAACCACGTCAGTCTATGAACACCGCACACTTCGATCTCTGGCTTTTCAGTTCTAGAAATCATTAGAAATGTGGTGTTTACATCTAAGTTTTTGTGTTAGCGCTAGTGTACTAGCACTGTACTAAAAAGTAGCCAGCATAATGTAAACGGATCGACAGCATCTACCAGCATGAGATATGAGGAACAACTTCCCGTGCTTTTTGCTGAAGGAAGTATTACTGCTCTTATAGTAAATTGCTTGGAAATCGATTTAGAGAAACTTTCTTCTACCGTCATGGCGCAATTATTTGAGCAATCAATTTGATATGCTGTGGATGATGAGCATGATCCATCATCCAGGCGAAATTCCACAAAACTTTCCCGGCTTAATGCCAAGAAGAAAAAGGTCCCCCCTATTGTGATAACCACTTCTGATTTCCATGCTCTTCGTACGGAGCTTTTGTAAATTTCAAGTTTTCACTACGGAGTGAATGCCGTGTATTGGCTGAAACCTTGCACGGATTCAAACTTCTTTTCAAGTATCTTAACAAAGGTCAGTAAAGGGGATTACTGAGAAGCAACACAATGTTTTCACTTACGGTGAATCCCTGGATCAGATCAAAGAAGAATTGACAAAATTACTTGCAGTTGAGCCAGTCTAAGTAATCAAAATGAAAATTAAATCCCGTTCTGAGGATTCACGCAACGCAATTACTAATTATTTCTATTTAGTTCACTTCAGGTTCTAGTGAACTAAACAACCTTAAGGCCTTAGAAAAAGCTAGCCTTATGCTCCATGTCCGGAGCTCCAAAATGGTGAGTTGACAACCTGGAAGGAGCGGAATACCTAGCTCTGGTCCTCACAAGTTCCTAATTCACGCCTCCCCGAGTCATATGATAACAAAAGACTACCAACTGAAACATGGACACAGCTGGGTGGCGTAGCCTGGGCAATGTTGCCAGTCCGGCAATAGCAAAGTGAAGAGGTGCGACGCGAACATTGGCGCGGTAACCATAGTACGGTGAGAGAGGAAATGCTTCATCAAACCCGAGCGTCCTGTTCACCATGGAGGTGCGGCTCAAAACAGGGTCTATTCTCCATTTTAAGACGCGGCTGATCACCGTCCTAGTGCCATCATCCATTCCACCATTCGCTGCCAGACTGTTGAGCAGTTCAGTCGATTTTTATTCTCTCTCGTTTCGTTCGTTCGTTCGTTCGCAAATCGAATTAGCTCCGCGTTGTGTAGTGACGCTCTCGCTGACCCAGCCATGGGTAGGAAATCGCGCGGTGCGACCACCGAGCCAGCCCAGAAGAAGCAGAAGAAAACCCCATTGCCCGTCCCGACGGGCGTTGCGGACTCGCATCCGGGGCCTCCCGGAACTAAACGACCCAGACCTGAAGACAGCAGCGCCACCGCATCGGCAGCAAAAAAGCTGCTGAGCAACAATCCGTTCTCCGCCCTGCAGAACGGAGCCCAGCCGCAGTCGGACCCTGAGACGGTGCCGAAAAAAGTGAAGTTGCCACCCTTCTATGTGAAGGGCTTCCCTCCCGGGCTATGGGAGCAGCTGGATTACTACATTAAGGAGGGCCTTCGTTGCACCATTCAACGATGCACGGAAGGCTACAACTGATGGTCCCGGCCGAAAAACACTACAACTCAGTCCAGGCCCTCTTGGACAGGATGAAGCTGGAGTACTTCTCCCACGACGTCGAGGCCACCAAGCCGCTGAAAGTGGTGCTGCGCGGGCTCCACGATATAGACTCCACCACCTTAATGAATGATATTAAGGTGAACGGCCTCAAGCCGGTCGAAATCCACAAGATGACCCGCAGCAAGGCCATCAAGTATCGTGACCAGCTCTACCTGGTCCATCTGGAGAAGAACTCCACAACCGTGAAGGATCTCCAGACGACACGCACACTGTTCCACATCGTAGTGAAGTGGGAGCGGTATAAGCCGACCCATCTTGGCGTCACTCAGTGCTCGAACTGCCTATTGTTCGGGCACGGAACTGCCGCATGGCCAGCCGCTGCATCAAATGCGGCAAAAACCACAAGATCGACGACTGCGACAGCATCGAGGAAGGCGCTCCCACATGCGCCAACTGCGGTGCCGCCCACAAGGCCACGAGTAAGGCCTGTCCGAAGCGGGCCGAATACGCCGAGATCCGGAAGAAGGCCTCATTCAACAACCAGCCCGGTCGCAAGAAGGTTCCGGAAAACAACGCATAGAACTTTCCTCCGTTATCACCGGTCCAACCACGGCCAATTCCAGTGTTGCCGCCGCTCCCGCTCAACCAACAGTTGGCTGCTGCCCAGTCGGCTGCCGCTGCAGTACCCGGTCAAGCCTCCGGGCCATCGACGGAGCCCCTGCTCCGGGATTGGCCGGTACAACCGGCGAAGCTACAGACGATTCTCCGCTGTCAGCGGATGAGATCGTCACACTGTTGGCCCAGGCCATCATCATCAAGCGCACCTGCGCTACAAGAACACAACAGCTCCAAGCTATCATCTCCTTCGTCGCTAATTATGGACCGTGAACCCATAAAGATCGCCAACTGGAACGCTCGCTCCGTAGGGGCGAAAAACATTGAGCTTGCAGACTTCCTCCGCAAGCACGACATCGACGTGGGCCTTCTCACCGAGACCTACCTCAAGACCGGTGACAGCTTCTGGCTGCCCGGCCACAGCATTGTCCGGCTTGATCGCACCAGCTCCAGGGGGGGCGGTGTCGCGGTCATCATCAAGAAAGGCACCAAGTACTGCACCCTACCCCACTACCGCACTTCCATCATCGAGGCCGTCGGCGTAGAGGTGGAAACATCGACCGGAAACGTCCGGTTCATCGCCGCCTACTGCTCCCGGCAATGTACCGTTAGCAATGGTACACCACAGCAGTTCAAGAACGACCTTGCCATCATAACCCGCATCAATGCCCGCTTCGTAATCGGAGGGGACCTGAACGCCCGGCACGAGGCCTGGTGGAACTACCAGCAGAACCAGAACGGCCGCCTACTATACGACCATTCCCAGCATGGTCTCTATTCCGTCTGGTTTCCGCACGAACCAACATTCACATCACCGGCGGCAACCCATCGACGCTGGACCTGTTCTTGGCAAACACCGGATTAGCCAAGCCGGTTGGCGTCAACGACCTGAGTTCGGACCACCAACCGGTGCTGACCGAGCTGGGATGCAACGTGGCCCCTGCACCGTGCCTGCGGAAGGACTACCATCGAGTCAACTGGGTCCAGTTTCGGCGCGTGGTCGACCGCCACATCGACGACAACCCACCGCTCGACACAGTGGAGGACATCGACCAGACCCTGGAGGGTCTCCATCAAGCCATATACGTGGCTTCCTGTAAGGGGTAAGTTTCAAGCAATTGATTCCCACACCAAACTCTTGATTCGGCTCAGAAATGTTCGTAGACGCCAGTTTCAGCGGACTGGGGATCTGCAGCGTAAATACGAAATGGTCGATCTGAATCGGCAGATCGCTTCCAGAATGGTCTCAATCCGGAACGAGAGTTTCGGGCGGCTCGTTCAGAACCTGGACGACCGTTCCAGACCATTCTGGAAGGTTGCCAAGGTGCTGAAGTCTCACCCCAAGCCCATTCCACCACTTAGAGTCAATGACGAACGGCTAATCACCAACGAAGAGAAGGCCAATGCGATTGGGGAGCACATTGCCCAGTCGCATTTGCTTGGCTCCAAAATCCCAAGTCCACTTGAGAACCAGGTTGCGCAGTGCGTCCAGACGTTAGATGCCTCCCCTTGTGCCGTCCCTCCAGAAGAACGGATTACAGAGGAACAAATTTACTCAGCGCTGAAATACAGTAAGAACATGAAGGCTCCCGGGTTTGACGGAATATTCAACCTAGAGTTGAAAAATCTCAGC